GTTTGATGTGTGTCTCCATCATGTAGGTGGGTCTGTTGTGAGACATAGATCCTACAACTATGTGATCGTGAAATGCATCATACTATTTGTACTATATTTTGGGTAAAACTGCACCAATCCTCCAGACCGGCCATAAACATGCAAATGGGCCATAAAGGGAGACAAAGAAAACTTCTCCCGCTCAAAAATTCACGCCTGGTATTGTCTATTCCACCCAAAAGGTGGATGTGGATAGGAACTATCAAAAGTCATTAACTCAGACTAATCTTTGCTCAGAAACCTTTCTTCTTGAGGCGGACACTATCCAAGACTCCTCAAAACTCTCCTCTAGAGTTAGATTTTCCAGCAGTTTTTATCTTCAAGTAACTTTGTCGATCCTCTGTGGACTTTCCTATCTTCAGAAAAACCAGAGGAAAACCTCCAGCTCACTTCTAAAAGAACTCATCAAGAACCTCCATTGTCTACCGCATCAGGACACTTGTTCAGCAACAAAGCCAATGCAAGTAACCATTTACAACTATTTAGATGTATGCTTAAGTTTGAGCCCCTTTTTAAGGTGATTTTGATTCTTTGATGATTCTCATTAGGTTGTGGTTAACTGATGTGAAATACTGCCATTCTTTTGCTCTTCTCTATCTCTTCCTTACTTTCCTTCATTCTGTATATATGTGTTTTGCTTGATTTAGTTGTATGTTAGCTATAGTTTCATTTATTAAATCCCTTGTATTCACAATTGATTGTCTCTGTGTGCTGCTCAAAATTGGGAGTCACTGAATGTTGATTCTTGCTATATGCTAAACTACTGATAGTACTGCATAAAGTAGAAAAGCAATTGTTCCTTGGCCAGGAAAAGAATCTTTCCTTGAATTGATCAATTATTACATTGTGTGCTCGGTGGATGGACAGATCAAATAATTGTAATATTGATTCTGCTACAGTTAATTCTAAGATCTAATCTAAATATTTATAATTAATTATAACCAGTTATAATTAATTATTAATATTTCCCTTTTGAGCTAATTTGCTAGATATTTGGTGGAGAACGTGGCAACATTCAAACTTTGTTTGTGAGGAACTCAGTATCAATTTATTTGTGTTCTTATATTATGCGTGCTTAGAGTGAGACAAGTCACAATGCAAACTCACTCTTTTGAATGGATGGTTCAAAGCCACCTCCAGTACTGTATTTTAACAGCCTAACATTTAGTCACTGTTATTTGCTAAAGTAAACTGCAGTTCATAATATTAAAATTGTTCTCTAAAGATGAAGAAATCTCTTTACAGTACATTTTAATATTATCAAAATCGCCTGTTGGAATGAAGAAATCTTCCTTCATTGTGATAAAAATGTATTTGAGTGATGTTCCTCTTATCATCTTTAAAGGCCTTATCTGAGATTATCACTAGATTGAAGTCATTGCATGTTAATTTCATTCAACTAGACGACCTCACTAATCATTAGTAGCAGCTAACTAATGTGCACCTAAAATGCAGATCTGATCATAAGAACACTACGAGCCAGTAACTGATTGGAATGTAAATGGGAGCTTTTAAAACCTTGATCAAGTGAAATTTGTATAACAACAGCGAAGAAACCCTGTTGCTTATCATTTTTATTGTGTACCAGCAGCAAAGAAATCCTGCACACATCATTGTACAGTTAAGTTGCACAAACTGTAAGAATCTGTTGGGATTTAAGTCACATTGTTCTTGTGATAGCTGCAGTAAATTGTCCATTAGAATGAGAGTAATCTCACACTAAATGTGATCAGTTTTAAGCACAATTGGAGTTAAGGCACAGTACCTTAAACTAATGCTAGAGGGCAGGTTGTTTAAGTATCTAATACTTCTTGAACTCCACCTCTACCCTCCTGATTTCACCTTGTGTGGGCTCACCCACTCACCCTTGTGGGCATTCTCAGCTAGGTCGGCGTCTCTCTCCCTAAGTCCATGTATTTCAATTTGTTTTACTTCTAATTTCCCTTCTGCTTCTTTAGTCATTATTGTCATTCACACCATTCTAGGTACCTCCTGTTTTAGTTCTTTATTTTAGTATTATTTTTGTTTTTACTTTATTACTTTTATCTTTTTATTTTTGTTTTGTTCCTTTTTGTATTATTTGATCAGGTTTCTCTCCCCCTCTTCTCTCTCACTTTACCCACTCAAAACTTACCACTTAAATTTAAAGTTAATTTCCTAGCTAGATATTCTAGCCATTTGTGTTTACCTATAGGTAGCACTCCCTTTAGTGCTTAGTTGGGGAAGCGACGGTTGCCTCCATGGCAGATCACAGTGAGCTGTCACGGGATCCCGACTGGATCACCTCAATCCATCACTAAGCCTAGCCCATAGAATACTGACCCATCCAGCTAGCGAAACCCCAAAATCAGCTTTCTCCTCAATCTTTAAGGTAATTAGCCTGCTCCTGCTATCCAAGCAAGGCTGACACACTAGATGTTATGACCCAGCAGTGCCCTCTACTCTGTAGGTCCTGGCATAACCCCTAACAGCAGTGAAAGGCTTAAACCTGCTCTCTCCTCTAACTCTCTCTGTGTTTTGATTTGTTGGTTTGTTTGTTTTTCATTTTGTTCTGTTTTGTTTGCCTAGAGACCGAACCCTCGAGAATCATCAAGGAAGGCTGAGTAATAGATTGACGACCCAAGCTGCCAAAGTCTTTAGATGATCACGCTGTCAACAATCTTTAGTTAGATCCTTTCCAGTGCCCCCCACAACAATTAGACACACCTTGCCATTTACGGCCGAGATAACAGGTTTCTGGTCTACACTCCGCTAACTGTTTGTACTCATCAAACAGACCGTACATAGAACATTAGAACAAGTTGTAAGGACTTGCATTAGCCTTTTGTACTGTCCCTCTCTCGCTCTCTCTCTCTCTCTCTCTCTCTCTCTCTCTCTCTCTCTTCACCAGTGAGCCAGCATGTCTCGATCATCCAGCCCTGATGCCCACTGGGATCGACTAGAGTCCTGGCTGAGTGCCATGACTGGTACCGTCCTGCCTGAAGCCGCCGGTGGCCTGCAGCACCTGAGCCAGGAACAGCTCGACGACAACCTGAGCGCCCTGATGTCACACGATCCTACACAGGACTACAGCCACAAAGATCTTGCCAAGATCATTGGGTCACTAACCCACAACCTCCTCGCTCAGGCAAAGCTGGGTGAAGCAAGCATCTCCCGCATTGGCCTTTTCGTGCTGTCCCTCTCTCCCTCTCTCTCTCTCTCTCTCTCTCTCTCCCTCTCTCTCTTCACCAGTGAGCCAGCATGTCTCGATCATCCAGCCCTGATGCCCACTGGGATCGACTAGAGTCCTGGCTGAGTGCCATGACTGGTACCGTCCTGCCTGAAGCCGCCGGTGGCCTGCAGCACCTGAGCCAGGAACAGCTCGACGACAACCTGAGCGCCCTGATGTCACACGATCCTACACAGGACTACAGCCACAAAGATCTTGCCAAGATCATTGGGTCACTAACCCACAACCTCCTCGCTCAGGCAAAGCTGGGTGAAGCAAGCATCTCCCACATGGAACAGGAAGCAACAGCGCTGAAGGTCCAGGCTGAGGAGGCTCAGAGAAACCTGGTGCTTGCTCAAAGGCAACTGGACCAGCTAACGTCGGAGACTCAGCACCAGCACAGGACAGCGATCGAAAAGGACCCAGAGCTGCAGGAGGAAGTAGAGAGACTCCAGAATGCCTTGACTGATCTCCAGTGTAGACACAGCACGCCGAGAGCAGTGGGAAAAGGACACCAGAGAGGAACTGAGTGAAAAACTCCTGCAAGCAGAGGCTCTCCTAATGAGAGCAGAGACTGAATTCAAAGAGAGAGATGCCAGGGCCAGGGCCTGCAAAGTTCTCGGGCTGAAATCAGTGCCCTGGCCCATTACAAATACTATTTAAAAGAAGAACTTGACACTGTTCACCGGGAGCTTAAACATGCATATGGACTGCAAAGTGACTCTGAAAGGGAAATGCACACCACAGAATTTACCCTAACCAGTGGACTGATACCTCCTAGTCAAGAATTCCCAGTTCGAAAGGGGGGTGAGAGCCCACAGTTCAAGACATCACCTGCCAGCATCCCAGAACCCCCAGCAGTCTTCCAGTCACGGTGTGTCACCTTAAGAATTGGATAAGCTGGCTAGAAATATTCCCACTTTTACTCCAAACCCTGCAGGAGGCCACGACGTGCACGCCTACCTAAAAGACATTGACTTTCACTTGCAAACTGTTGCCAATGTTACCACACGAGACAGACTCTATCTGCTCAGGATTACCTCTAGCCGTGAGGTGCGGAGCTTTCTAGACCGGCAGCCAGAAACAGTCAAAGTGGATTACCAGCAACTGCATCAGGCTTTGATTAAGGAGTTCTATGACCCAGAGTCAGAGCAAGGACTGATTACTGCCATGGACCTTAAACAGGGCAGACAGGAAACCACTCAGGCCTTCTACAACAGGTTCAGACAGCCCTACTTTGGAGCACGGAACGAGCCAGGAATGGAACAGGATTTCAACTTCAAAATTCTGTTCCTCCGAAACCTGCACCCAACAGCGAGTCACCACTTGGGGTTTCTGGCTTGCCCACGGACTATGTCCACCCAACAGCTGCGAGACTTGGCCCATAAGGCCTATGCCAAACAAAAGACTGCTTCTGAAAAGACGGGCGCCGGGCCAAGCCACAATGACAAACCTGTCAACACAATGTCAAGATCCTTCCCAGCCAGCAGAGAGCAGCGTGGCCATGGCGGTGCCCGTCCAAAGCACCAGACTGGGCGCCCCGAGAGATCCTGGGACAGGTCACATCCACCCCTCAACCGAAAGGGTGGAGCCAAATGGGAAGCCAAGAGATGGCCCAAGGGGAACCGACACAAGCATCGAGCTCAGACTGCCAGCAGCAGAACCCCTCTCAACATGCCCTGGACAAGCCCAAATATAAACCATCAGCAGAACAGAAAAGGGAAGCTACGTCTGAATCAGCAGAGATCATGAGACTTTTAAAGGAACTCCTCCAGAAAAAGCACCACAAGGTAGACAAAAAGGACGAGTCAGATCAGATCAGACTAAGCATGAGATCTGACCCAAACGCCCACTCAGAGTCTTCTCAAAGTGAACCTCCCAACCAGATCACTGCTAATCCACTGTTAACCACAGAACCAGATATCCCATCACCAAGTGATGACATCACTCAACCATCTCAGCTGACTGCTGAACCACCAGAACCAGCCAACATCCCGCACCATACCTCCAACCAGGACCCCAAAGTACCCGAAAGTGCGGTTTTGGTGGTCTGCCTCCCTGACGAGCCACACAAGACCAGCTCTGACTGCTTGCCAGTCACCACACAAGCCCCAGTGCCAAGACTCCTGGTGAACCTAATCGAAAGGGGGGTGGCCAAAAAACTCTACCTGGCCATCACATTGGAAAATGAGATGAGACTGGAGGCCCTGGTGGACACTGGAGCTGACCTCACTTTAATGTCAAGCCAACTTTTTGACAGACTTCAAAGTGAAGCCAAGAGACAGAATCGAACTATTAAATATCAGAGGTGTGTGCTCAATGTGAACAGGTAGCTCCAATTCACCTGACCATCGGCCCTATGAGCTTAGTGCACCCTGTGTACATTTCTCCATTGGACACATACCCTCTCCTCATTGGCAAAGTCCTGCTAGACCACTTTAAGCCATTGTTAGATTTTAAACAACTGAAAATCTGGACTCAAGTGTGAGAACCTCTGCCTCCTCAGTCACTAAGATCACCCCAGACAGACTGCCAGGTCACAAAGTTCACGGAAAATCTAACCGCCAGCCGCGGGAACGTCTCGGCTCAAGAGCGAGGTTCAAGGTCGCTGCTCTGTACTTTACAGCTAGCCAAAGACTCTGACTCATACGGCCCCCAGGTTATGGGGGGCTTACAGCTGAATGATGTTACAACAACTGACCCCATACTAGCACTGTGGGCAGACAATTCAACCCTCAGCCTCTCACTGTTCAATGCTCTCAAACAGCATACAACAAACATTCCTTTTGCTTGTTAAGTGCACTTGTTAAGTGCACACGATTCCCTTTGAATCCCTGCCCATCAACCATGCTGATTGCCAAGGGCATCTGTGATCTTGAGGTGGAATGACAGGAATGACCCATTACTTCCTGGTCCTTCCAGACGCACCGCATGATTTCTACATCGGAGCGGACATTCTGATTCGCCTCAGGGCTCACGTGGACATGATCAATGAAGTGATATGGGCTTCAATGGCCTCACAGTCACCCACTGTTCCTGTCAACCACGAGAACCTCCTGTCGGGCATCAGACAACCTCTCATCGGCTATCAAAGAAGTTTCTGCCACATTGGAAGGGACCACATGAGATTGTGGACAAACTCTCCCCTGTCGCATACTGGATCAAGTTGAGCAGGGGACAGAAAGAACCATTTTTTAAATGGGTCCATCGTAACCAGATCAAGAGACGTGACTGCTGGCAGGGAAAGACCGGGGGGGTAGTGCTAACTAAGCCCCGCTGTAGTTCTCAAAACTAAAGACTGTCCTAATCAGTCTAAGCATCTCCACCACTGATCCACTGTCTTTCTTCTTCTCTGTATCAGGATGTTGCTGTGGCTCACCATCCTGTGCCTCCAGCCAAACAGAGGACAGCCGCAACCTGATATCACATCACCAGGTCCAGCATCAGGCATTGCACTGAGGGACCAGCCTGGACTTCTTGTGACCAACTGACACCCAAAAGGTGTACGTCTGACTCGACCCCCGAAATGTCTACTGGACACATTATCCCCAGGTAGCTGCACACTACAGTGCCCGATGGACTGAGAATTCCCTCGCTCACGCAGAAGCCGATATCAAACACATACTCACTCAGTTGCAGAAAATGACTGTCACCCAAGCAGAGCTAAGCGGACATAACAGGCATAACAAACGATTCCTGGGGGCCTTGCTCGGAGCTGCTGCTGCTGTTGGAAACCTCTTCAACCTGGGAGTGACCAGCGTCAACTCTGTGAGCCTATCTACCCTGAGGCAACATGTAAGGGAGATCCAGACTGAGATGCCCCAGCTGAGAGAACAACTCACACTACAGGGCCAAACCCTACAGACTATAGGCAAATCATTAAAGGGCACCTTGGTGGTTCTGAACACTCACAGTGTCCTGCTGAACCAAACTGTGAACTCCGTGAAAAAGTTATTCTCTGTTATACAGAATGATGTTGCCCAAACTCCGCTGGTCACCACACTGATGTCTGACATACTCCGTGAGGTGAGCTCCTCCATCGACAGCCTAGCCATGGGTAGAATTCCTCCGTATCTGGTGCCCCTGAGCCTAGTACAAACAGTGTTATCCTCTGTCACTACCCGTCCAGCTGACCCTCTTCAAGTCCACATTTGCCTACTCCCTGGGAGGGTCCATCCTGCTACATGTCGACCCCGAGCAGAGCGAGATGGCATTTCTTCTGACTCTACCCATCATTGAATCCGATGACATTTACAAACTCAAAGACATTGTCAATGTTGGATTTTGGCAAGGAAATACTCACATCAGGATACACACCCCAGATATGCCTGCCTGCCATGACAGTAACCCACAGTTATACCTGGCCCCAAACCTGCGCATGAGTACCCTGACCAAAGACATTCATTATCTCTGCCCCAGCAAGCCCTTCCTCCGAGACAATCAGTGGCTCATCAACACGCCCATCTGTACCACCACACTGACCTATGACCAGAATGACACTGCCACCCGTGTCAGCCTGCTCAACCAGAGTATGTGGACTAAAGTGCCCAAAGGTGCCATCCTCCACCTCGGGGACCTGGCACTGTACCACCTTCCAAGTGAAGAGTACCAATCTGAGGTAGCAATTCCAGCCTTCTTCAAGGACCACAATCTCACCCTGGAACCTGAATTGGAACTGAGCATTGAGAAAGGGGGGTCCCAGATGATTGACATCACCCCAATCGACACAGCCCTCCAAACACCGTCTCGGCTGCCTGTTCCAGACCAACTTTCCCATCGCCCAATCCTGGACCTCTGCCGACATGGCACTTTGCCTCGCCACAGCAATCGGGTACACCCTAACTCTCGGCTTTGCCTTTGTCCTGTTTAACAGAGTCAACTGGGTGCAAAGGTCCATGAAAAGGTGCATAGCTGCCCTTCCTCGAACCTTCAAATGGAGCCACCGGAAAAGAGGGACCCAGGCTGAGACAAAGCTGAACCTGACCAAGGTTAACACCCAAGCTGAGGATCCAAAGGCTGAGGCTATTATATTACCACCTGCCATCTGGCCTTCCTTATCCACCTGCCATCTGACCATCAGGATACACCTGCCATCTGACCATCGGGATACACCTGCCATCCAGCCTTCCTGATCCACCTGCCATCTGAAAATCAGGATCCACCTGCCATCCGATCATCATGATCCACCCACTGTCCGACCATCATGACAACTGTTGTCTGACGATGTTTGCAGGTGAACTTTGTCAGCCAAAAGGGGGGATTCTGTACCATCTGCTTAAAATCATGGATGATCATTGGGGCTTTATGTCTTATAAATTACAGGCATGGCCCCACATTCTACATTTATATGGGTGCTAAATTGCCAATGGTTCCCCCCACTATCAAAGGAGATGCTAAACAGTTCACCGCTCTCGTCTCCCCCTCGTGACTTCAAACACATTCCAATGTCCTGGTCATCCTCAGTACCTGGCATCAAATGTTTGATGGCCAGCGAATTACCCCCATGCTCACAATACACATAAGACACACACATAGTCTTTATTTAGACTACAATTAATCAGTTACAAAAGTATCTGGTATATGCATGTGCTATTTGAATGTTTTTAACCACTCGTTATTTGTATTAGTTAAGCTCATGGTTCCCCCCACTATCAAGGAGATGCTAAACAGTTTCACCACTCGAACTTCAAACACATTCCAAAGAGACGTAAATGACCCCCCGGTGCCAGGCACAAACGGCCTGGCTGACCAGCAAACTACACCATGCTCACATAACACACACACACATAAATACATTATCTTTATTTAGTCTATAATCAATCCGTTACAAATGTATCTGGTATATGCATGTGTTGTCTGTATGTTTCCCTATTATATTAGCCTAGTTACCACTCGTTATTTGTATTAGTTAAGATCTAAATGGCGTATAAATGTATCTCTGGTTTAATGACTTCTAGATGTTTCTTTCTTGGTATCAAAATGATCTACTCTTTATTCCTCAAACAATGATGTACACTATGTGATCGTAAAATGCATCATACTATTTGTACTATATTTTGGGTAAAACTGCACCAATCCTCCAGACCGGCCATAAACATGCAAATGGGCCATAAAGGGAGACAAAGAAAACTTCTCCCGCTCAAAAATTCATGCCTGGTATTGTCTATTCCACCCGAAAGGTGGGTGTGGATAGGAACTATCAAAAGTCATTAACTCAGACTAATCTTTGCTCAGAAACCTTTCTTCTTGATACGGACACTATCCAAGACTCCTCAAAACTCTCATCTTCAGTTTGACTTTCCAGCAGTTTTTATCCTCAAGTAACTTTGTCAATCTGCTGTGGACTTTCCTATCTTCAGAAGAACCAGAGGAAAACCTCCAGCTCACTTCTGAAAGAACTCATCAAGAACCTCCATTGTCTATCGCATCAGGACTCTTGTTCAGCAACAAAGCCAATGCAAGTAACCATTTACAACTATTTAGATGTATGTTTAAGTTTGAGCCCCTTTTTAAGGTGATTTTGATTCTTTGATGATTCTCATATGGTTGTGGTTAACATGTGAAATACTGCCATTCTTTTGCTCTCTTGCTTACTTTCATTGATTCTCTATATGTGTGTTTTGCTTGATTTAGTTGTACGTTAGCGATAGTTTCATTTATTAAAGTTCCCCTGTAGTCAAATATTTTATCCCTTAAAACTTATCTTTAAACATCAAAATGACATTTAAATGTTTTTTCTTGTGAAAATAATTTTCTCATGCCCTAAAATAGCTTGAATGTAATTCTACACCCTTGCCTCATTTACTATACGCGGATCTATGAATATGCAAATTAGTCCCGCCTCCACTCAGTCACACACCAGCCAGCGCCTCCTGATCCACTGAACTGTAGTAACCGCAAAACAATGGCATACACGGATAATGACTGATAAAACTATGTTTTTACTAGCGGACAACTACAGTGAATACTGTAACATTCGTTAAAGTTACTTGATGATGTTGTGTCCTAAAATGCCTTGAAGACTGGAATTTAACCGTTTGTGATGGTTAATTCGCGCCCGCGAGCATATGAGTATGAAGTGCAGATGCAGCTGCGGGAGAGGTGTGTCTGACCCCGGGCTACTTTTACACTGTTGCCACGGGTTATAATGCAAGTTAGCGGTTCTAAATTCACATTAAACCACAGCTTCATGGGTTTTTTGCTCTGATTTATTTTTGGTTTTGTGCTGGTATTGGTATATTTTGCATGCTAGTGATAGGAATCGATCCCTTGACGTGATTGGTTATTGGTTTGTGACGTAGCAAACCAAGGGCTGTTTCAAACCATATTTCTGGGTCAGCCTTTGGGAAACTACAGTTTTAAGGAGAAAATACTCAGCAATGGTGTTGATTAATAGATTGACACATGGTTTGTCTAAAAACATATTAAAAACACCATAAAGACAAATAAACAACATAAAAAACTTGATTTTCACTACAGGGGGACTTTAAATCCCTTATATTCACAATTGATTGTCTCTGTGTGCTGCTCACATTTCGGAGTCACTGAATGTTGATTCTTGCTACATGCTAAACTACTGCTAGTACTGCATAAAGTAGGAAAGCTATTGTTCCTTGGCCAGGTAAATAATCTTTCCTTGAATTGATAAATTATTATATTGTATATTATATTGGACGGACAGATCAAATAATTGTAATAATGATTCTGCTACAGTTAATTCTAAGATCTAATCTAAATATTTATTATTAATTATAACCAGTTATAATTAATTATATTTCCCTTTTGAGCTAATTTGCTTCATTAGTGCAACTAAGCAAATGAAGAGAATGCAAACCCTCTTAAGCGGAAAATTCAATGTTATTTGCAATGCAGAAAGACATGTGTTAGGAGTTTTATGCTCATGAACTTATGTTAGAGCTTCTAAACAAAAGAAGCTTAGTTTAGTGATTCTGTGAACAGTAACACTATGTTAGTGCAACTAAGCAAATGCAAGCCCCCATATGCTGAAAACCTTATTTCTCTGTCAGAGAAAGTTTGTTTATGCAATGTTAAGAGTAAAGCTTGTAAGGATGGTTTCCCTACGGTGGTTCAGGCTGTAGGATTGCCGAATGACTAAACACATAGACACACATGCAACTTGATATCGCTATGCAATTCCAGTATTACAGTTATTCCAATTTTACACAAGACACATGGTCTAGTATGCATGTAGCATCTACAACCTTTAACCTAAGTGTTTCACACACTTACAGTAAAGCAGTCATGTGTTTTTTTTTAAAGAATAA